CCTGGGAGCCGCTCAGCGATTCCCGCCAACGGCCCCGTGGTGCGGCACGAGGAGCAGCGGCGCCGGGGGAGCAGCGCGAGCGCCGTAAAACCCCGGGCCAAATCAAGGGTTCAGCCCTGCTCCTGCAGGCGGTCAGGAAACAGCACGGGGGAACCGAGGACGGAACCGACGCAAACTCAACTCCGCGCCGAGCGGACGGGGCCTCTCCAAGCCTCGCTCCTGCCTGAGGCCTCCGAGTTCGACCTCTCGGAGCTGGGAGCTGCTCTGAAATCCCATCGCTGCTCCCTGGGCCTGCAGCTCTCCGGTTCCTTAATTAAAACCGTCAGACGCTGCTGCCCAAGCCTCGCGCTCAATCCTCCCGATTCGGGCCTGGCCGCGGCCGCCCTCCGCGGCGGGAGCTCTCCCCGCCGGCGCTGGCGCAGGCTGCAGGGCCACGAGGGCTCCCAGCCGCCGTCGCCCCCTCGTTTCCTCGGGCTTCTCGCTGGCTGCCTGCGCCGCCAAGTCGCTCATCAGCTTTAATGAGCTGTTCCAGGGCCCAGATTTTATAGCACAGGGGGGAAAAAAAGCTGCTAAACGGCAGCAAAGCGCCCATGCTCCCAGCTCCAGCCTCCACATTTCGTGAGACTCGGGGCCGTGGGTGGGCAGGCGTCAGCTCGCTCCCCTGCGAGCGGGGGGAGGCTCCCTCCGTGCCGAACAGCAGCTTCCCGGGCGAGCGCGGGCCTCCCGCCGGCCGACCAAGCGCGGCCCCTTCTGCCGCTCGGCGCTGCCGTGCCGCACGCATCCAGCAAAGCCGTGGGTCGAAAAGGCAGGACCGAACCCGGGCGAGCCTCAGCCTCCCATTGGATCGGGCTGGAAGCTGCGCGGTGCCACAGTCCATCCCTGTCCCACGGCTGCAGGGAGGCGAGGGAGAAGCCCGCGGTCGCGGAAGGGAACCCGCCGGGGGGTGAAGGAGGCAACACCCCGCAGCGGACTCCTCGCCTCCCGTCCGGGAGACGGCCCAGGCTGAGCCCAGCGCCCCAGGCACGGCGCTGGCTCCGGGGCTCGCGGCCAGCCGACCTTCGGGACGGGAAGGAAATGAGGGAATGGGCAGGTGCTCTTCCGCTGGGGCGGGATGGGACAGGGTATCGGGGCTGAGATCTTCCTGGGAGGAAGGCTCCACCCTGGGGCCTCGGCTACCAGGGAGGGGAGGGCAGCACAGCCAAGACAGAGCAGAAAGTGTTTCACCAACAATAAGCCACAACTTTTATTAATTGATAGAAATAGTACAAATTTTAAATTTAGTTGCATTTTACTCTTCTCTGAAACACCAAAAAAGGCTCCTCTCTCTGGCAGCTACATCGTCAACTCCTGCAGAGAGAAGACAGACACGTTAGGAGCCAGCCTTGCCGGCGGCACGGAGCCCCACAGCCCGGCCACCAACCCGGGGAGGGATCCGGTGCCACGGCCACAGGCGGGAGGAACGTCCCTCCGCTTGCGGCAGTGGGGAGCTACGCGCTGCACGTCTCCCCCCAGGGACGTCCCGCCGCAGGCCCCTCTGCCTCCTGCCCAGCCAGGCAGCCACTCACCATTATAGCATTTACAATATCGTTACTGTTGTTCTTCAGGGCACGGACTGCCTTCGCTCGGGACACGTTCGCCTGGGACATCACCAGCTCGATGTCTTTCACCTCGACGCCGGTTTCGTCAACCTGAAGGAGACAGAGCCCGGGATTCAGGCCAGCCCAACGCACGGCTTGCTCCGTGCCTGGCAGAGGAAAATGGGATCGTCTGGATTGGGGCGGCTCCCACTCAGGCCACGCAGACGGAAGCTGGGAGGCAAGACCGGGCGCTGCCCAGCCCGGGGGACGGTCCCCCGGCAGTGCCCAGGATCAGAGCCTCCGGGGGAAGGACCCTGCGCTCTCCCTCTGCCATCACAGTGAAGACGTGGATGAGGGAAAGAAAAACACGGGCGTGAATGCAGCAGGCCTGCGGCCCGGCAGCTGGCTTGGGTCTGCAGTGAAGCACCCAGCCCCGCAGAGACAGGCTGGGGAAGGCGTACCTCTTCTTCCTCGCTCTCCTCCTGCACGGTGGGGGTCTGTGTGTTTTCTTGGATGTTTGAAACAGCTTCTCCTTGCACTTTGAACTTTTCGGCAGCTGCCAGCTGGGCCTGCTGGGACAGGTCTTCGATCTGGAGGAGGGAAGAAGTGTCAGCGAGGCCAGACCGGCGCAGAGCGGGATGTCAGCACACAGGCTCAGGGAGCCGCAGCCGTGCTCCCTGCGCCGCAGCAGTGCCAGCACATCCAACGGCTCTGCCGCACAACCCAGCACGTCCCTCGGGGGGGGGTGCACAGCAGCTGGGACCCACCGGCAGCAGCCACAGCACGCTGGTGGCAAGGAGAAACCCCAGCTAAGTCGCTGGCCGCCCCGCTGCCGCACGCATGGATTAACGCGGCCGCCAGACACTACGCAGCCAGCTCACCTTCGCTTCGCCAAAGACTATGTAGGTGTCTGACGCTGGGCTCTTGTACACGTCTGGCTTTGTGATGACAAAGAGGATGTTCTTAGATTTCCGGATGGTGACTCTGGTTACTCCCGTCACCTGGCGAAGGCCCAGTTTAGACATTGCCTGAAAAACAAGAGAGAAAGGTAAGCGAGAGAAAGACAGTTACTGAGACAGCCTGGCCTGTGAAAAGATGTATCCACTCATCTGCTCTCCAGAGACCTGGGTCCAATGATCAGTGCGCTCACGCAAATTAAAACGTGCATTTTACTGCTGCAGGGAAGCATTCCCGGGCTTTTAGCCTGACACTGCACTGGGAGCCTGGGAGGGAACTCTGTAGTCCCAGGACTGGCAAGATCTGTAGCGTGACCGCGAGCCTCTCCATACACAAGGATTTTGCCTGTGAAGGGGGCATCCCCCTGCCTGGGGGCCTGACAGTGGCAGAAAGTCGCACAAACCTCTCTTGGCTGCCGAATGCCCGGCTGCTGCTGCCGTACAGGGGCAGGAGGTGAGGAGCTCAGCAGGGTTCAGGGGGCGAAGACCCCACACTCAGGGATACCGTGCCAGACCCCGAGGCAAAGCTCAGCTGTTCACGGGCAGCCTGTTTGCTGCTACAGGTTTGGTCCGTCCACCATCCCACCTCACCTTCCGTGCTTTCTTTTCGCTCCGGCTCTGTTTTGCTTTGCTAACGGGTTCTTCATCTATTTCAGCTGCTGCTGCAAGCTGCAAGGACAGAAAATGAGAGGGACCCATGAGAATCCTGAGGCAGCGGTGGACAGCATCAGCAGGGATCCTGCTCCGCCGCTGCTGGGCGCAGGGATGCGCTGGCGCGTGCTGCCTGCCCTACCTGTGCCTGCTGCGTTGTGGCCTGTGTGGAGTCTTGTTCTTCGAGCTCTGGTACAGATTCATCACTGTCAGACTCTGTTCCGGACCCTAACGAAACACA